ATTACTGGCCTACCATGAAGGCAGACACCCTTGAGCTCGTCAAGAAGTGTAACAACTGCCAAAGGCATGCCAACATCCACCGGCTACCTATTGCCAATCTGAAATACCTCACCATCCTGTGACCTTTTGCTCAATGGGGAATAGACATCCTCGGACCTTTCCCCCCAACAACCAGGTAGAGGAGGTTCCTGGTCGTGGCAGTAGATTACTTCACGAAGTGGGAAGAGGCTGAGCCCTTGGTAACCATTACATCTCACAACATACAAAACTTCTTCTGGAAAAACATAGTGTGCTGCTTCGGACTAACTCGGGTGCTGATATCCAATAACGGGAAGCAATTTGAAGACATCAAGTTCTAGAACTGGTGTGCTAAGATGGGAATACTTGTATTCCATTGATGTACATCAAGTTCTAGAACTGGTGTACACAAGGAGTTTTGCAAAATACTTGTATTCCATTGATAAAATGCTTCAAGTAAATAGCAAAAACAAAAAGAAAGATCACAATTGTTTAACCGAGCTCGGAGGCTCGGGACATCAAGTATTAACAAAAGGGGGGTCCAAGAAAAGAGGCATCAGTCAGTTCAGGACTCCTCATCCCCAACAGAGGCTTCAGTAGGCGGATCTGTCTCTGTGCAGTCCTCGGAAGCATCGGCCTCCTCTCCCTCTCTCGTTGTCTCGTCATTGAGTTGGTTGTTGTCACTCTCCGCCTCAGAGTCTGGATCCTTGGCGGCTCCAACGGCCATCTCCTTGGTGATCTTGGACGTGGTGATGGCACTAAGGTTGAGATGGGGAAATTCACGTCGGGTCAACCACCTACTGAGCTTAAACCCCTTGTGGTAGCCTGCTGTCCCAACCATGACCAACCTCTCTCGAAGTTCCACCGAAGACTTATACTCCTCTACTGCCTTGACATTGGCCTCCTCCATCGCCTGAAGCAGGATTTTAGTTTGCTCCTTCACATGAGCCGCGAGGTTCTCGTTCTCTCTCTTCAGTGCCACCTCGCACTCCTCGAGTTGCTTTTTCTCCACCTCGAACTCCTCCTTCGCCATCAGCAGAGTCAGTAGCTCCTTCTTAGCTCATGTGTTGTTTTTCAGTTGGTTGATCTCGCTGCGAGCTAAGTTGAGCTCGGAGTGGGCACTTCGAGAGGACTCTTCGGCTTCGAGAGCTCGCTTTAAATTCACCTCGGACCGGTAGGCCAAAGCATGGATAGAGGAGTTCACATGCCAAAAGAAGAAAACAAGCATAAGTATGAAAGAAAAATCTAAGTATGAAGCAATTTGAAGGCTAAATACGTACCACCATACATTGCGTAGCCGCTCGGGCCCCGAGTTAAGCAACTAGCAAGTCAGCCCAGCGAGCGACCTCCTCGACGAGCACCATGTCCTTGCTCTTGAGAAGGCCATACTTCGGAGTCAAAATACTCCGGACTGAGGTATCGCTACCCGAAGAAGTAGCGATCGTTGGTGCGGGCTGAACCTCTGAAGACGTGGTCTCCTCGGGCATGCGGGGTGAAGTGGCCTTGCCTGGGTCCTCCTCAACCAAGTCGATCACAGGAGGATGTTCGGGGGAAGAGATGGCAATGCTAGAGGTGGTGGTCTTGGTGTGGAGGCGAGCCTTCTTGGAGGCCCTCTTCTTCTTCTTTCCCTTCTGCATGCTCCTGAAGAGTTCGTTGGCCAGGATGTCATCCATGGCAACTGCAACAAGTGATGAACTAAGTTAGATACGACACTGAAGTAAAATAAACAAGAAAAAGGTACAACAGTTAGCGACCTACCAAGAGGGCTTAGCTTAACTTGCATGAGCTTCTCCTCGGTCACGAACTTTTTGAACTTCAGGCCGAGCTTTGCCCAAGATGGGGCCTCCTCCCTTGTCTTTGGGTCCAGTCTGATGCCGGGGTCTTGGATGGCATCCCTCTAGTGAGTCGGGAAAGCCCACCCCTCGGTGTTACGGACCACGAAGTAGCGCCTCTTCCAAGCCCGGACCTTGTTAGGAAGCTCATGCAACAACTTGTACCCGGGGCAAGGAGACATAGTAACTCCGCCTGTGCGCGGGTAGAACACAGGAGGAGTTCTTTTTTATGGAAAGGATCGAAAAGAAGATGTCAAGGTCTATAGGTCGGTTGTAATCGTGGAAAAGGGCAATGGTACCTATGATGTTACAGATGGAGTTTGGATGTAGCTGGTCTATGGCAATGTCAAAAAACTTAATGATTTCGATTATAAAAAGATGGAGTGGAAGACGCATTCCGGCTACGAGCTGCTCCTCGAAGACCACGATCTCGTCATGACCGTGATCCTAAGGAAAGTTGCCTAAGGGAATACTATAAACAAGATCATTGGAAAGCCTGTACCGAGCTACTAGGGATAGGAGCCTGTCTGCTGTCATTATAGACGGACCGAAGCTGTCCGGCAGGCGACCTCAATGTGAAGCGGAGGCCGACTTTCCAGAAGCCTCTCGCTCTTGCTGAGGTCAGCTCGCCTCAAACGAATAGGAGTCCACATCCTGTGCCGAAGTGCCCACCTCGATAGGATGAGGCTCCTTGGTTTGTGCCGAGGTCCTCAACTTGGTCCCAGTGGACTCACCACTCCCATCTAGAAGGCTATCCAAGCTAAGGCTAGACATTCTAATGGAAAGGACAACGGAATCGAAAGTAAAGGAAGACGAACTCACCAAATGAAGACCAAAAAGAGCAAGACGACCTTGGACTCTGGATTCACGATTTTATAGCGAAGAAAATGGGCCCTTCGGCCCCTTTTTATAACGAGTATATCCGGGAATCAACGGTCAAGACCTGCACGATCCAATGGCTCATAGGAAAACTAGTTGCATGCTTCCTAAGGTTGAAATTAGTTTAGCACACATTTTGACGTCCACGAAGACTATAATCGGCTTGACGTTCGCACGTACCTGATACACAACCTAGGTCACTTCCTGGTTTAGCCAAATGGTCTGCCCTCCATATCACCTAGACTTCGTGCCAAATCCACTGGGCTCGTCATGAACTCCTTGCGCCAGGTTAGGACCCTTGGCACGAGGAGTAGGGGGCAATTGATGAAGGGTGATTTGGCATGATCTAGTAAGTAAATGTCACATGGACGCGATCTGCCCGAAGGATGACAACTCAGCGAAAAGAGCCTAGTCAACAGTATTTAGAGCTCGAGTGTTCGGTCACCTCGACACAAGCCATCTTGGCATAAAGGCACCTCGGCTTAGAGGCACCTCGGTACCTAATCCAGTTCGAGGCCCACGAACCGAAGTAACACATAATCGACCCCAAAAGCTTCCCAGTAGACTCCAAACCTAACGAGACCACGCTGCGTAACGGTTGCCCTTATCCTCTCCCCGCCTGGATCGAGCGAAGACGATAGACTTCATTAACTGACATGCTACTCCCCAACTAAAGCGGAAATGGATCTTATCCACTCAGGCCAAAGACCCCAGAACCGTTTTCGTGAGGTCCATGGCAGCTCAACTTCATAAAAGCAAACAACCCCTCCAGGGCCCAGGTACGCACAATTATTGGCTCACTAGTACACTTATCATTCAACTTTCAACTCGCAATAATAACTTAAGCATTAGAGTGACCTCCCCGAGTTCTCCAAGTTTCACGATTTTGCAGACCGAGCCAGCTCGCCACGCAGCCAAGTTCCAAATCATCCTCCAGCTAAGAGCATCCAAATCGTGCTCCACCAATTATAAAATGTTAACAAATTACTGTAGTTACCGTTACAAAATTAAATAAATAGTTATTGCATGTTATTAGAAAATAATAATAATAATAATTAATTTATCTGAATATTACTGCTTATTACTTTGTTAATATTTATCTATATAATTATTCAATTACAGAATTTTTAACAAATTACAGATTTTATACAAGTTAACATAAAGTTACGAGTAACTATGAAAATTATCATAAAATACCATTATTTCAACAAAATACTATAAATTACCAAAACTCATCATAAAACACATAATTTATTAGTGTACCAAAATCATGATAAATTACCACAAACTATCACATAATTTCCATAAGTTATCATAAATTAGTATAATTTACTAAAAATTACTGAAGAAAATAATAAAAAATTATTTACCAATATTTCCACAAAAATAAATTAAAGAATCTATTAGTGAAGTTAATAGAGTACCATAAATTAGCACAAAATTATCAGTAATTTCCATACAATAGTTAACCAGAAATCATGATAAGTTACCACACATTATCATAAAATATTAAAAATGTCCAAAAATAACCACAAGTTAGCACGAAATTACTAGTAAACAAATTAGTAGAAATTAAATTGCCTGAATTTACCAAAGAATATAACGAAAATAAATTACCATCATTTAGCACAAATTAACATAAATTACTGGTAATCACCAGAAAAAACATATATAAAATAGTAAAAATGCCCAAAAATTATCACTATTTGCATAAAATTATCAGAAAATATGTTTATGATTTCTGGACATTTAGGGTCGGGGCTGGGAGTTACTTAGAAACTGGGTTCAGGGATGGGGTGTATGGACCCTACCTCAAATCCAATCCACTGCCATTCCCAATTCCCAAATTCCCAAGTGTCGAATCTGGAGCAAGAGCGACTTCTTATTTCAACGCTGACCACTTATACCAAAAAAACCGTTAGGTATTATCCTATTTGAGTTTTCTTTTTTTGTCATTTTTTGTTATTTTATTATTTTATTTTTGCATTTACTGTATTTTTAAACATTTCCACCGAAGAATTTTAATTTTAAAATTTTATTTGTTTCACATTGTTTCACTTTTCCTGCATTTTTTTTTCTATTTATTTAATATTTTATTAATTTTTCATATTTATAAATATTTTGTATTTTTATTTATGATGTCACAAGTTGACCTATTTGACCGGTCGGTTTAACCGTTGATCCGGAACCGGAGAGAACAGCGGTTCCGTTTTCGGGTCGGTTTTTAAAACACAGGTTATTGGTTGAACAGTCCCAAATAGCCCGTCTAGTTCAGCTAATCTGGTTGTAACGCAGCTCTCTGTCGCAGATGAGATCGGATCGACGGCTGACTGATTGCTCTAAAAGGCTTTGATTTAATATTTCTCTCTATCTGAGAACTCGAAGCAGAGGACGAAGGGTGGTTAGTTCTGCCATTGAAGTACCGCTCTATTGTTGGTGATCTTGGTTTTTTCTCGTCTGGAGTTTAGGTCTTGCAATTGTGGAAGAGAACCTGGTATCGGGAAGTCGAAGATGTACAGGTAATGCGCATTTATGATTTACCATTTCTGTTTTTCTGTTAGTTTGATGGCGTCGGACATTTCTATTTAAACTCTTGCTGTTCTAGATTACTCAAATGCCATTTCTCTAAACTTTGATACATGCGAGTTTATCTCAAGTATGTCTTTGCATTTCAGACTTATATTATATGGATAGGATGCGTTTCTGTGTTGGGTTTTGGAATTAGGCTTTGTAGTGACATTTTAGTAAAGTTGGAGACAGACCTGCTTATCATGTTCTTGTTATTTTGCCCTGAAAGCAAACAGTTAGTGGCTCTTGATAGAGTGGAATAGTGAAACAGACTTTTGTATTCAACTCCATGTAGTTGAGATATGCTTTGTGTGTTGCCTTGAATTATGTAGGACTAATCAAACAGTGAATTAAACAAATAATTGATCCAAAAAAATTAAACAAATAGTTAATGTGTCATTGGTGCACTCTCCTTAAATCTCAACATGGTTTATAAGGTTAGGTATCTTTGAATAACACCTATTTCCTAGACGGGTCAGTCTTTGGGATGGTTTTGATTTTACCTTTACAAGTTTCTTGGTTCTTTTTTAATACCAGAAACTGTTTTCCTTTGAAAAATTCAAAACCATTCATCCAATGCCAGCCATTTTTTTCTTGCCGTCAGTCCAGTTTGTTCTCCAATGTTTTTTGCTAGTCAATCAGAAAGTCTTTTGCAATTGTAATTACAAATTGTATGGTTGTTATTTTTCCTTCCTCAATTATTGTAATTACAAATTATTGATAAAAAAATTGTAATTACAAATTAAATATAAGTATTGAAATAGGAGTTGAAAATTAAAACTTGTTTGCAGTTTCTCCTATTTATCTTAAAATGCAATAGGAGCACTTTTTGTTTCACTAGAAAAACGAAGTGCATATATTCATCTGTAAATTTCTTTCGAGTAACAAGTCATTGCATCTATGGGATAGACCTGTTAAAGGGCTAGGGTCGGGCTTAGCTTTGGCCAAAATTTGAATGGCCCGCCTGAAACCCGAGCCTGAAATAGTGTAAAGCTGAGCCTGAATCCCAGCCGTGAACAGGTCTATTGAGGGGTGAAAAACTCTAAAATACTTTGGAACATGGAACATCACTGCTTTTTTTCTGGGTTCAATCCCTAGTGGAGTTGCTCTTCCCCCCGCGCAACCCTCTTGGTTTTATCAAAAGGAAAAAAGAAACGAACATCATTGCTTTTACAGTTTGTTGGTGCATGTGAAAGGAAACAAACAGGTGTGTTTATCAAAAGAAAAGGAATGGCCTAGAAGCTATATTCAACTGCTAGATCTGTCAGTGGGTTGGGTCTGGTTTGGGACAGGGTGTAGCCATTCTGTACTGATTATTAATCAGTTCTGTAAGATAGACATAGAACCGGACCAATTATTAATCAGGATAAATTGGATCTGACCCGATTAGACTTGACTTCTATAATTAGCTATGATAATAACAGCTTAAAACTTCATTGTGATAATATAACCTTATAAAAAATGGAAATAAAATGGTAAATTATTTATATGTTGATAAAACAAGTGATTTTAGCCAAAATTATCTTATATACTGTCTATGAAATTTGCCCTTTTAAACACAAAATATAACAAAAATTACAAGAACCAGGAGTCTATTATATATTATTAACTACGTAATTGGTTAGGAACAGCAAGAACCAGATGACCCAATGATCAATTGGTACAAAACCACAGAACCAGAAGTGACATAATTGGTTCAGTCATTTCGGTTCTTCTGGGAAGACCCAGCCCATTGACAGCTCTATTAACTGCAGATATTTGCTCATTAATCATGGACTGGTTTGTGGTTGATATTGGATCATTGTAATGGGTTATGGGAGTAGTTAATTACTTGGGAGGGGGGGAGTTGCTTTGCATCGATTATGTTGAAGCCCATTGACAGCCTTGTTTGCTTGTTTGCTAGTAAGCCGTTTAAACCTCTTTATCTCCTCCCTTAAGTAGGGGTGTCAATTGGACCGGATTTGGTCCAGTCAAATCTGTTCCAATATGAGTCCATTACGGATGGACCAGGTCCAATCCAATGTGATGAATACTCTGGACCATTTTGGACTAGTCCAATTCTATGTCTGGACCATCCAATCTGTTCAAATTGGTTTTAATTTAGATTGGTTCCAACCCAAACCTGGTCCATTGACACCTGTACTCTTATCTTCTATAAATGGACTGGATATAAATGGATCATTCCAAAAGTAAATATTTCTCCCCATTACCTGGTTTGAGTGAGATAAATTTGAAGAACAAGTCCCTATTCTTCATAGTTCCTTTACATAGGCTTGTTCCATATGAATCACATCATTAGAGTTGTTTTTGTTATAGCTTATCTCACTTCTGGAGCTTGATGATTGTAATATTCTCTATTTGACACTTATCGATAAGATTTCATTTTAAGATGTGATTCCTTTTGATTCCTTTTGTTATTGTTCACATTATTTAATTGGGTTGCATATCATTCTTTTTAGCTAATTGCCTATACTAAACAATTTTTTCTTGATGTTTTTCTCTTATCTCTGTCTAATGCATTTTTTTTTTTTTTACTGGAAATAGGACAACTGTGAGAAAAATTGCATCTAATTACAACACCTTGAGGGTTCCGAAGAGGACTTTAAGTAATGATGCATCTGCAGGAATATCTAGCACTAACTCAGCTAAATTCAATTCTGTAATAATTCGTATCACCTATAGATGGATATTTTTTGTTCATTCTTTCTAATCTTGATTTTCTTTATCTTCTTAAATTCTTTTACTCCTTATATGTCATTACTCCTAGCAATTTAAGTTTATTGCTCTAAGAGAGCTTTCTTGGTCCTTGATCCATCATTTGATACAAAAGCAACTTGAGTCTGTTGTTTATTGGGGATGAAAGGGAGTGGAGTTTCTGTGGCATCATGTATTTACGATATCACATTCGGAAGCTCAATCTTGTTTGGTGACGTTAGAAATTTCATTCTGCTGTCTCCCAGGATCAGCTAATTCATACTCAGGTTGCCAAGCCAGGGATGAAAATTTTGCAATGTATCAGTAGGTCACTAATTCACAAAACTATGATCCTTTGGGGTTTCGACTCGTTTCAGGGGGTAGACAGGCCTTAGACTGACCCCTGAACAGGTTTTGATAAAAAGAAAAAAGCATAAGGTGCTTGGGATCAAAACACCTGATATGCCCCATCTGGTGTATCGGAGTGTATCAATTTTGATCCTTGAGCCAAGCTAGAACAGTTCTGGATTAACCTTAGTTGTCCTTGAGCTTAGTTATGCTTCAGATGGACAAGGTTCTTAGTTTGTCTTTTGTGTTTATTATATTCTGCTGACTCTTTGTCAAACAGGTTGCCTTTGCAAACTGCAAAAGGTGTGGGTTTGGGTCCTCATTTTAGAAGCTAACTATATTATTTGTTCGCTTTGTTGCTTTGTTTAATAAAGTTTATCATTATTGAACAAAAAATGTACATTTGCATGATGTATCAACTGTTCAATGGCATTACAACATAACAGAGAATGTCAAATACAACATTAATAAGCAGCATCAGAATTCAAAAATGAAAAAAAAAAATTATTTACAGGTGTGCAAAGTAAGGAGAGGAATAATAGAGTATTTTCTGACAAGTAGCAACATTTTGAAATGCTGATAGATGTGATCACAATTAGAGTTGCAATTGGATCCAAACCATAAAGGACTGGAAGTTAAGAGATGTGTCCATCAGATGATGTAGTTAGAGGATGATATCACATTATTTTTGAAGAAGGTACAGTATCATTAAAATAGAGAACAAGTATGTACAGAAAGCTGTTGTATACAGGGATTTACAATCACTGTCCATGCAATCCTATACCCCCAAACCTGGCTTTACAAAAAGATTATCATAAACAAAAAAATGAATTATAATTTCTATCGTTAGAACAATTTTTTTACAGAAAGCCAAGAAAACATTTTGCCCAAAAATTTTCTCAAACACTGTTTGTAGTGCTACTTTTGTTCTTGAATATCCTTGAATTCCTCTCCTGCCAAATGCACCAAAAAGCTGCTGTAGGAGCAACATTCCGTGCTAATTTTCCTCTCTTGGTGAGACCTTCGACTCTTCAGCCCTTCACAAAGTCCACCACCGATGGTATCACATAACAAAATCATTACCCCATAGACATGTTATCTCTCTCAGCTGATTTTAGTAGGGAATTTTTCAAGATCACTTTAATATGTGCTCTCTTTGGAACCAAAGTCTGCAAGGATGGAGGCTTTTAGACAGCAGCAAACAGAATTTTGCAATTATTTTAGTCTATTTTGGTTCTGTGGGCTGTGGTTCTCAAATGGTTCTTATTTCCACGTAAAAAATATTTGAGTTTGATTTCTTCTCCTTTTTTTTTTTTTCTTCTGTGGTTTCTTTCACGAATATGTATCTGGTAATTTCTTTGATGAATTCATTGTTTCTGACCTTAAGAATTATTAGATGACAGTAAGGATTTCTCAGAGTGTTCTGGTAAGGTTTCTTGGATTTTGGGGACTGTGATGCTCATTCCAGAAGGTGAATTCTCAGTCTACTGCTAGACATTTGACAAAATGCCTGGAGTTCTGATTACATTCAATCCAAAATTTGTTTTTCTCAGGCTGCCTGCAAAGTGTCTGTTGAAATACTGATTTGTTGCATGCTTTCCATTGGCCAAATTTGGTTATTTGATCTGCTTCTTGGACCTCATGTTAGCACTCTGTTTCACTGTTTGTCAGTTCCATCTTTGATTTAATGTTTGGGAATTGCAGCTTTTTCATTAGTTGGGCCATCTGGTTAACTATTCTAACAGTCCTGGTTGGTTCCCTCAGTGGAACATTGGCCTTTTCTGATAACCACCTTGGGTATCTGGTTATGTAACTTCTGCAATATTTGTTCATGGTGTTTGATTGAGCTGAGCAGCTTCCTCCAGCACAGCTATGATGCAGTTCTACTTAACATTTTGCTTTGCAAACCCAAGATTTGTCACCATCTTATTTTTGGGAGGTGTACATATATACGTTCAGAAATATTTTTTGTACCTGGGTTTTTTCTGAGAGAGGGTGTTTGAGAGTAAGGTTCGACAGGTATATTGGGATATGGTAATCTAGGTATAGGTGTAGTGTAGGGCAGAAATACTATGCTTGTTGGGTATTGCTTCTGGATCTGTTATATGGGTTGTTTATGTACTGGATTTTTTATGTAAGGCCTCTTTGTGCCTCTGTTGGGTGAGAGTCGTTTGAGGGTTTCACTCTATCTTTATTGCATTTTTAGTGAAATAGTGAACCTTTGCAGTTCTCTCATGGATGTAGGCTCCCAGAGCAAACCATATTAAAATATATTTTCTTCTTTTGGTTTATTGCCTCCTCCTTTGTAGGTTATAATAAAGGCTTTACTGGGCCTGGCTATTCTTAAGTTTTTTATTGCTTTTGTCTACTTATGTTATCCTAGCTTATTGTTTGGATTTATATGTTTACCATCCAACTTGTAGGATCCATTTATCTTATGTTTTTACTTTTTATATTCCACTATCTCTTATGATATAATCTCTTTATTTCACTGATTCAATTAGATTAATATTTTAAAAAATTGTGTTAACATTTTCTGTATCATTACCACTTGTTTCGTGCTTTATGTGAGGTGACCCACTTTATTTGGGACAAGGGTTTGTTGAGTTGTGCTATACAGGGATATTTTTACAAATATTGTTCTAGGATCTTTGTATTTATTTATTCATTTGAAAAATTCTTGCATATTTTACTAGCAATTCTCAAACTGTTGCTTGCTTCTCAAGGAGTCTCACTTCTTTCATTATTTTTTGATAAATGAGTCTCACTTCTGTCATTTGAAGTGCATTCTTAGGCCTTACTGGCCTGTTCAACTTTCCAGGAGGATGAGAAGCTTGGGATGAGAAATATGATTGGCCAATATGACATTGCTATTGTTGGAGGTGGCATGGTTGGCATTGCCTTTGCTTGTGCTCTCTGTAGGTATTATTGCTTGTTTATAGCTTAATATAATAGGTATTATTGCTTTTTTATAGCTTAATATAACATCCCTATTTACCATGTCACACACATAATTGATTTTTACAAAACTGAGTATATTGTTGAGTGTTGACGGGCTTGATTAAAGTTTTAGTTTCTCATCACACAACACCTTGTCTTCTATGCTTTGAAATCAGCTAAGCTGCCATATATGTGTGTTTCTAATTGAGCTTGTTGTGACTTTGCCAATTGTTGAACCTTGAATGGGTATCTATTTTTGTAGAGGTGGTATCACTTGCTCTATTATGAGGATTGTGGAAAGAAAGAAACAAGGAATCTTTGAGGGGAAGTCTAGAGAAATATGTTGAATTTTTGCTAAATATTAGCTTCCTTCCTATAAAATGAACTCTAGTGCTTAAGGCATTAAATGGGTTCACTAGAGTTGGTTTTTGAGGAATTCAACATTGAGATGATTTTCATGTTCCATCTTATCTGTTTTATTTTTCTCCCTTTTTGTCTCACATGATTTAAAAGTAGAGTAAATAAAACAAAAAAAAATGGAATACATAATATATATATCTATATTTTACTATTAAAAGTGTGAATGGGGTCTAGATTCTGGATTTTTTTTGACAAAAATACCTTTGCTCTTTGAACTTGGTCTCCTTATATTTATGAGGGCAAAAAACATAATTTGAATGCTCAAGGAGTGATAAAAGAAAAGGGGCGATGTTTGCAAAAAATGAGAGTGAACCCCAAATGGAAGCATTTGACTATTCAACCCCACCTGTGTTTGATGCTAATAGTGAAGAAACCTTAGAGGGAGAACTGGTGTATGGGGATGTGGGAGAGGCCTTGGTGATGTAGCGATCATTCCTAACTCCTAGGGATGAATCGTCAGATTGGCTAAGAAATAATATCTTCCACACCACGTATACTATGGGTGGAAAGGTAGCCAACCTTGTAATCAATGGCGGGAGTTGTGAGAATGTTACAGCAAAAGTAGCCATCCGCAAGCTGAACCTGAAAACTCAACAACACCCTCACCCTTACAAGCTTGCATGGCTAAAACGAAAGAATGAGGTCTCAGTCACACAACGGTGTCTAGTGGGCTTTTCTATTGGCAATAATTATAGTGATTGTGTGTGGTGTGATTGTATGCATGGATGCTTTCCATTTGCTACTTGGGCACCCATGACAATTGACCGCCACGTAGTCCATGATGGGTGAAAGAACACCTACTCTTTTGGGTTTAAAGGGAAAAGGTTGACCTTATGTCCATTACAAGAGACTATACCTAAATCGAAACTTGGGGAGGGTTATAACCTTTTTGCCACCTAAATCGAAAGAGCACATACTCTCAACCTTTACATGTTTCTTCAGAGTTCACTATTTTTTTGAAGGAATTATTGATGGGATTCTTCTTTAGGGGCACAAAGGATATTAGATAGGGAGATGCACTATCTTCATTGTTTTTATTTGTGTCACAAAGACATTGGTCAGGCTTACTAGTCTCAGTAAGGAGAGGAGAAAATAAAGTCTCATTATTATAATTTGATGATTACACCATCATGTTCTATGGTGGTAAACATCAAAGTTTGGAGTTTAATACTAACTATAAAATAAGTTAATCCATCCCTCTTTTAGTAAAGAAAGGGACAAAGTAGATAGAAGGGGGTAAGAAGATTTGGGCATTCAAAAGGTCTTTGTTTTTGTGTTGTTTTAGAGTTAATGGACCATTACTAGTAGACAATCAACAATAAATTCATTATGTTTTATTAGAATTGGAAAATGTTGAGGGAAGGGGATGCACATGGATAGGGTGGAAATAAATGGATATGCTTGTGTACATTGAGGAAACTCGTACAAATCCCACAAATACATCAATAACAATAAATCTAAAGTTAAACCGGCTATGAATAAGGTATAAATACATAAGAAATGCATATTTTCATAGTTTATATGAAGAGATACATTAATCAACAATACTGGGAGTCTACAACATATACACATCATACAATAATTTTATTAATGACCATAGTTGTCAAGGCGATGCCTAACCTACATGGCGCCCTTGGAGGCTCGCTTCGCCTAATTGCCAGGCAGTCTTATACTTTCTATTATAAAATACTTTTATTTTTTATTTTTTTGAGATTGTAATTAGAAAATAGACATTATTAATTTAAAATATTCATTTTGCTGTGCATATATACTAATTTCTTTTTATTATTTTCTTATTTGTTAGGTTTTATAACACATTTTCTTCTTTTATAAGGGTTCAACCCCTATATTTTTCAATTTTCTTTTTGTTCTTTTTCTTCTCATGAACATGTTGATTGTCTATACTTTAATATGGACTTTATACTTTTCTTATGAAAATTATGAATAATTATTGTTGAGAATGTAAGGGCATTTATGTCCTTTCATCTTTTTGTATTTGGGTGCCTATTCAAGGGTCCATTTGTCATTTTCTTCAAATATTAAGAAAGTCTCTTCAAGGTATGAACAGTAGCACACCTGAGTTCTACGACAAAACCTTTCTTCTCGACTGCTTTAACTTGGTATCGGAGCATCGAAAGATCAAGGAGAGCATCTACCGCTGGTCGTGACTCATAGGTGAACTTGCTGACGTCAGCATGCCACCGGTTGATGTCAGCAACCCGTACAATTGGTGACATTCATTTGCGGTTTTGACACCCCTTGATGCGCCTCATTTTTAGAGAAATTTTGATATACATTTCATGGAGGTTTGAAGCTCTTTTACATTTTTCTTGGATTTTTTAGATGAAAATTGGCGAAAATTACAAATTTGGAGTTTAGGGCTTGCATGGTGGGCTGGTTGCTGTTAAACCCACTTGCGTTTGAAGTGTGGTGTGGTAAACTTCTGAGATTACAGGAAGCATTCTCAGATTTTTTGGAGCCCTAAAACTTTTTTTGGGAATTTTTTTCTTCTTCTATTTTGCCGCCAGCACCTTCTTTTCTTCTGTTTATTGTTGTAGCCCATGTTTAACCTTGAAGGAAAGGTGTTTGGGTGTTCATCTAGTGTTGGGAGATTGTGATGTTGGTGAGAAAAGTGTTTTTAGAGGGGTGGTGATCAATGGACTCACACAAGGATGTGTATGTACCTACCTATGTCCTCCTGGGAAGTAATGATAGTGTTGGAGGGCAAATTACTATTGTAAAACTTGATGGAACAAATTTTCTTGAATAGTCTCAATCAACTAAACTCACAATCGGAGGAAGAGGTAAGCTTGGGTTTATTACCGGTAAGGAAGCTAAGCCGAAGCTTGAAGATCCAAATTATTCCAAATGAGAGTAGGGTAATTTGTTGGTTATGTCAGGGCTGGTATGTTCTATGCAACCTCACATTGCCCGCAACTATATGTTCCTTCCAACGGCTAAGGACATTTGGGATAGGTTTACTTCAACTTATTCTCAAGCGAAGAATACAACTAGAATCTATCAGTTGTGAAGAGAAGCATGTAATATGCGTTAGGGGGAGAAATCGATGGCCATGTATTTCTCTTCCTTACAATCGGTTTGGGAAGAAATGGATCATTTAGAAGCTTTGGAGTGGAAGGATCCTATTGATGCTGAACAATACAGGAAGTGCATTGAGAAAAACCGAGTCTTTGATTTTCTTGTTGGACTGAATGTCGATCATGATTTCACTAGGCAGCACATCCTTAGTGCTGATATTTTGTCACTCTCCACAACATATTCTTTGGTGCAGAATGAAGAGAGTAGGAGGATTGCCATGATGCAAGTTCCTGTTAGTGAACACACAACTCTTGTGTCTTCAAAACCCAAACAAAGTTTTGGGAAACCTGAAGATGTAGTTTGTGAATATTGCAAGAAGCCAAGGTACACCAAGGATAGGTGTCAGAAACTAAATTCCCACCTAAAGCTTGAAAAGTTTAAAACCGGAAAGAAGGTAAATGCTCATGTTGCTACAGCTAGTCATGATTCTCAGACTCACATGCTTGAGGGAAATTCTTTTGTTCAGGCATCTACTCATGACACCTCTGATGTGATGGAAAAATTGAAAGGCATCTTAGTCCATCTTGAAAATAGTGGGTTGCCTACATCTGTTGGTTCACACTCACCTTCTAGTGCCTTTGCAAAATCAGGTACTGCACTTGCGTGTCATGCCTCATCCTCTGGCTCTTGGATAATTGACACAGGAGCCAGTGATCGTATTATTGGTATGCCTTTCTACTTTACCATGTATAAACTTTTTTCAAGGAAGGGTAAGATTACTGTTGTTGATGGATCTTAGACCCCAATCTCAGGTTTGGGTGAAGTCAAACTTACTAGCATCCTTTCTCTGAAATCAGTTCTCCATGTCCCACAACTACATAGAAATCTCTTATCTGTTAGCTCTCTTACAAAGTCTCATAATTGTTCTGTAACATTCTTTCCATCTTATTGTGTCTTCCAGGATCTGAGTACGGGGAAGACGATTGGCAGTGGACATGCCGATGGGGTTTATCTTCTTGATCAGTCTCCAAAGTTGGGTTAATGTGTCACTTTGAGTCCTGTCGTGATGAAAAACTAAATCAATTGAAATTGTGGCATCACTGTCTTGGGCATATGTCTTTTGGTTCATTGAAGTTTTTGTTTCCTAGTTTGTTTGAGTCCTTGTCTAGTTTTGGTCTACAATGTGAAGTTTGTCAACTATCAAAGCAAGTAACAAGAGAAGTAATGTTGCTTTCCATTTAATACATACTGATGTTTGAGGACCTTATTCTATTCCATGTATGGGTGGTTATATATATTTTATTCTCTTTGTTGATGACTATTCGCAGTATACCTGGCTGTACTTGATGAAGAGTCGAGATGAAGTTCTGGTGGAGACACAATTTGAAAAGAAGATTAAGATTATTAGATCTGACAATGCCAATGAATACTTTAAGAAGCACTTACAAACTTTCCTTGAAGAGAAAGGAGCAATTCACCAAAGTTCATGCCCTCATACCCCCCAACAAAATGGGGTATC